GCGTCCCCGCTCCGGTGGGCAGGGGAGGACGCCTCGAGAGCCCGGGAGGAGCTCGTCGCCACAGAGGAGACAAACCCAAGCCTGGACTCCCCGGCTTTCTGGCTAAGCGACCTTGGCCGCGCCCTCGCTCTTCTCCCCTTCGCTAGGGGGCGACCCTGCGTCCCCCGCCCCAGGCTCGCCTTCTCCCCAGGTGTCTGGCCGAGGAGGACCAAGTTCTGTTGAAGGCTAAACGAACTCAGTTTTGGAAGTAAGCTTTTGCAAAGGTGGCAGGGGTAGCGAGCGGCTTCTTCCTACCTTACCTAAAAGACCCTGGATTTTGTTGAGTGGCCTCCGAGCGGTCTTCAGGCTTTGGCACCGTAGCCTGTCCCATCTCCTTTGAAAGGAGTACTCCTGAGTTCCAGGTACTTGATGCTGTTGCTGCTGAAGAGGTTGGTCACAGGGCAGCTGAAGAGCAGCCCCTTTCCCAGCCGGTGGAAGCAGAAAGGCCCATTCCCTTAACCAGCCCACTAGTCCCCTGCTCCCACCGTACACCATGCGCTCACTTTTATACACCAGGAATAGGCACGGTGGGGGTGACCTTGAGTAAATCAAATGTCATCTCTGAGCCTTACCTCTCCCATCTGCAAAATGGGAACAATAAATACTCCAAGATATATTTGCCCCATAGGGTGTTTGGAAGGTGGGCTAAAAATACAGACAAAAGCTGCTATGTAGGGCAGGCGACCTAGATGAAGTTCTGTCATAGAACAAAGAACGTTGAGGTCTAATCCTTTAACCCACCCACCTTTAGGCTAAATCTGAAATGTAGGTTCTTACTAGAGAGCTACACTTTGAGTCTCTGGTTCGGTTAATTTTTGACTAAGTTAATTCTTGCTAACAATTGTCTATCAAATCATGTACTCAAAAACCTTCAGGAAAAGGCGTAAATAGCATTTATTGACAACGCTTAGAGATAAACCATATCTGGCAATAAATAAGCATGACGTTTTCTGGCCAGAGTTCTCCCAGCAACACAGAGTTCAGGAAAATCATAGGCTATTGCATATTTTTAGAAAATCAGGATAAATTATATAAATTATATATTTAAAAAGAAATTGATTTCATCAACTCAACAGAATAAATAGATAAATAACAGTTGATTGCCATTAGAAAAATTTGATTCTTAAATTACATTTACATGATAGATATTTACATGTACAATATGCACAGAGACATAATCAGATCCTCAGCCGAGTCTGGGACTTCTCAGGACACAAACTCAAATGGTGGTTCGTTTTCTATGTTGTTGAAGGAAGATTTGCTGTTGAGTTTTCTGGGGTCCTCTGGGGTCCAGACTTTGGCTGTTCGGATAATATTTTGTTCCTTGAGTTGTTTTTCATCAGTCCAAGAGAGAGAGTGTCCTGCTAGCGGAGGGAGGCCATAATCCGGGTCACTGGGGGAGGGGGACCCTGGAGAGGTAAGGAGAGAAAACAGACTGTGAATCTCCAACCACATTCCCAGTGATCCCATCAAGTCCTTTAGGACCCTTTCCTGGGCACCTCAACTGAGCAGGTGTCCTCCGGTTATACTAGAACCACTCTCTTCCTCCATACTTCAAGCCCCCACCATCACCTCCCAGGAATCCCAGGAGCTCGAGTTCAAGGTTGCCCATGCCCACTGACAGTCCGTCGGTCCGTCTATCTGCTTGGCAGTCAGCTCCTCCAGCCCCTCCGGAGCCTTCGAGTGCCCGTCCCCGTCTCCCTGACCTGGGAAGCAGACGCACTTACGGGTGCCCCTATGGCAAATGATGACCTTCGGGGCCTGGCTGCCCGGGCTGTCCCCGCCCAGGCGCCCGCTGCCACCCGGGCCCCCGCAGCCGCCCGCGCCACCGCCGCGCAAGGGCAGGTCGGCCTGCACGAGTTCGCTGAGGAAGTTGATGTAGCCGATGGCCAGGCGCAGCGTGTCCACCTTGGAGAGGCGTTTCTCATAGGGCAGCGTGGGGATGTGCGAGCGCAGCCCCTCGAAGGCGTCGTTGATAGACTGCATACGCCGCCGCTCGCGCACGTTGGCCGCCTGGCGCAGCTGCTGCAGCTCCGCTTCGGAGCGCACCCGCCGCCGCCGCCGCGCCGCCGCGGCCGCGGCCGCTCCGCTCAGGCCGCGCAGCCGCGCCCCGGGGGACGTAAAGACGGCCGCCCCAGCGCATGAGTGTGCCAGGCACGAGGGCGGCGAGCCGGGCGAGTAGGGGAAGCCGCCGGGGGGCGCCCCCGCCTCGCAGCAGTAGCCGCCGCCGCCTCCGCAGCCATCCTCTGGCTCACCGGGGCCCCCCGAGGGCTGCGGGGCGAGCGCGAGCGGGGCGGCCGGGGGCGCGGGCTGCAGCAGCAGGCACGCCCCGTCGCGGTAGCAGTACTCGTGCAGCTGGTGGCTAAGGAACTCCACCTCGGCCTGCTCATCAGCCAGCAGCTCATCGCCGTCCTCCAGAGGGTCCCGGGAAGACTGGTCGGTGAAGAAGTCATCCTCGTCGAAGTAGGGAGACGGGAAGGCGTCCAGGCCCCCGGGGAAGTGCTCCAGCAGCACCGCGTCCATGCTCGCCGCAGCAGTGGGCAGCTGGACTGCCGGGCTGCGCTCGGTACTTCTTGGTAAGTTTCGGTGGCCCGCGTCGCCCGTCCGAGACCCGCCCTCCCGGGGCCCTCGCTGGGGGCAGCGAGGCGGCCGCCGGGCTGCCCGCCCCGGGGCCTCCCTGGAGTGCCCGCGGCCGCTGCGCTCTGACCGGCGCCCGCGCTGCGCTGGGGAGGGCTGTGGAGGACTTGCTGGAGCTGAGGGCCGGCACGCGAGGATTCTTATAACAACATCCACAGGCGCGTGCCAGGGACTCGCCGCGCCAGCCAATCAGAGCGCGAGGTGCCGGCGGTGAGGGGGCCCGGAGGAGCGGCAGTGGGAGGGGGCGGGGGGGGCGCTTTGCTCCCTTTGGGAGCTCCTGGGGCGAGGAAAAGGCGGGGCTTTGCGATCCCAGCTTCTCGCACAGCTCTTCTCTGGCTCCGCTGCCTCTGTGTACTGGCTTCCTTACCTGCCTCGCGAGCGGCTCCAGGGGCACCTGCGTCCCGTGGTACCCGCCGCCTACCCCCGCGCGCTGTGCAGCGCCCGGCCCTTCCGCCCTAAGGCTGGGGCAGGTGCGCGCTGCATCTACAGGCTGCCAGAGAAGCTCCTAGGGGTGCGCGCCGGTGGCCCAGATGGCGAGAACGGGGGTCGCGCGGCGATCATCCTCCTCCACTGCAGCCTGAGCAATCCGAGGGTGCTGCCCTCAGGGGATGGGTGGGTGGATTCCGCCACCCACTTATCAGAGGCGAGCGCAGGCTTTGGCCTAGGTTCGGTTGGGGGCTTCTATCCCATCTCTGGACTTTTCAAGGGCTTCTGCACAGTTTGCAGTGTATATGCGGGTGGCATTGGAAGATGAGCTGGGCCCACTCCCAAGGCGTTCCGGGCGCAGCACAAGGGATGAGAGCGCACCTATGGACGCCGCCCTGGAGCCTGGCTCTGGTGCCTGGTGCCGGTCCCCAGCGACGTCGGCTCGGCGACAGCCTCCCCTGCCCTTCCCCGCCCGGAGAAAGGAATGGAGAGACGGGAGGGGCTGCCTCCAAGAGCAGCTCAGCAGGGCGCGTTTCTTCTGAGAGCAGATCGAGACCCTAGGGATTCTGAGCAATAAACTGGATACAAAAGGAGTCAATTGAATCGTCTGCTCCGGCAGAGTCCGGAGGCAGGGCATTGAAGTTAAAGGGCAGAGTGTGAATCGTTTTCAAAGCCTGAGTCTCTCACCTTTCTGAGTGGCCACCGGGACCATCCCTGAATGATTTGTTTTTTTCTTTCTCGACCTTTCTTTTCTGGAAAAAAAAAAAAAAAAAATACAAAACCTACGAAACTCTGCCCCAAGATAGACTTTATCACAGACTGCGATGCAACGTGAAGTCCTCCTTTCGAGAGCAACAAAGAAACACTTTCAAGGTCTGGGCGATTCCGATTAAAAGCCAAGCTGCAGCTTCCACCCTGGGAGAGTTCAGAAGCCCAACTATCCAGCGAATTCTCTCAACCGAGGAGTGAAAGAGTCGTCCTCCTGGGCCGCTTCCTTTTGCAGGCACTTGGCTCACCAGAGACTTGTGTTGGGTATTCAGATGCCTCTCAAATTCCAAGTCATGCCTCTTAATATCGTGATTTAAATACGCTTCTTGGTTTTAGAAATTGCACTGTAATTAACTGAATTGAGACCAAAGAGTTAGACCAAAGGATATATAAGGTTAGAAGGCCAGAGATTGCCTTACCTTGAACTGCCAGCAACCTCAGACAATTTTAACCCAAAGATTGACTGGTTTTCAGCAGGTTCTTTCCTGTGTTAGCTTCTCAGCCTTCTCAGTGAAGGAGTCGTTCACTATTTGCATATCCTTAAAGCCAAATATGGCCAGGCTCCCGGTGATAGAGCCTGAGCTGTGATTTTCCGAATTTAGATGTCTCTTTCTAACCCCAAAGGGAGGTGTGTGTGTGTGTGTGTGTGTGTGTGTGTGTCAGGGCCAGGGATCTAGCCAGCTATCGGTGTGCACCCTCCTCTTCCTCACTTAGACTGGAACTAAATGGAAGCATGCCTAGGGGTCAGTGTGAGAACATGCAAAAGTAACAAATTACCCAGCTTCAAAGCGTTATCGGAAATATTGATAACCATCCACTGAAGAGAAGACTAGAATTGAGCCTACAAAGTCTCTTTTCAAGAGGCTGAAAGGCTTTCTGGTGGCTCTCTAGGCTGGTGGTTCTTGAGAAACTATTTGTCATATACATGTGGGTAGGTCGAGGGCTGGGAGACAGGAGAGTGAGTGTGAATATATGGGTGTCTTTTTTTTTTTTTTTTTTTTTTGAGACATAGTCCTGCTCTGTCACCCAGGCTGTACTGCAGTGGCACAATCTTGTTTCACTGCAACCTCTGCCTGCCAGGTTCAAGCAATTCTCCTGCCTCAGCCTCCCAAGTAGCTAGGATTACAGGTGCCCACCACCACTCCTGGCTAATTTTTGTATTTTTAGTAGAAATGGGGTTTCACCATGTTGGCCAGGCTGGTCTCAAACTCCTGACCTTAAGTGATCCACTCACCTTGACCTCCCAAAGTGTTGGGATTACAGGCATGAGCCACTGTGCCCTGCTAGATATGGGTATCTTTTTATTCGATGTGATTTTAGCAATCAACTTCCACAGAATATCATCTTACATATTTTTGATGAGTTTGCGGAAGAGTTACAGAAATTCACCTTGGGTATCCAGTAAGCTCATGGGAAATTCACTGCGCGTAGGAAACTTATTTTCTTTATGAAGGGGAGTATAACTAGCATGCAGGTTCTGGGTGGCTCCTGCATAAATGAGCCTGGGGTAGGAGGAAGAGATAAAGTACTCACTTGTTGAGATAAAGTACTCACTTGTTTCAGATATAGCTCTTCCTACCCTTCTTCCTCCTCGTCCTTTCTCCACCACTCTGGAAGTTTTTAGAGAATTGCTGGTTGTGTGTAGACTGGCCTTGTTGAGAATCTAGGACAAGGCCTACAGTGACACTGTGTCACACACACACACACACACACACACACACACATGCATGCTTTAAATAAGACATGATCATTCTTTTCTCTTATAAGAAGAAGAAAGACTTCTCCCCAATAAAGGGAATTTTCTCTGGGTCACTGGAGGTCACGACTATGTGGACGGCTGCCCTCTGCCACTGGACACAACAGGTTGGATGAGAAGACTGAAACTGAGTCTTCCCTTGCCAGGCTAGAGGCCCCCACTCTCTGTCCCGCCCTCCATCCTCCTGGATCCTCTGGGTAGTAGGGGAGCCTGGAGAGAGACTTGGTCACAAGGCTCCAGGAGTCTCAGAGAGAAAGAGAGAAGAGGGGGTGGGGAAGAGAAGGCTGCTGCCAAAGCCGCAAGCTGCTCCCTTCTCTGCCAGGCTCAGGCTTCTTCTTGCCATGCTTTGTCGCCATGAGAGATGTTCCCTAACCTTGTAAAGAGCTCTGCCTCATTATAGAATGGCATCTCACCCCCACGGTGGACAGCAGAAGGAGCACTGGGTTTTTTCTAGTGCCAATCCCTGGTGAGACCTCAAGAGTTTTCCTTTTTCTTTCTTTTCTTCTTTCTTTCTCTCTTTCTTTCTTTTTTTCTTTTCTCTTTCTTCTTTCGTCTCACTCTGTTGCCCAGGCTGCAGTTCAATGGCTCAATCTCAGCTCACTGCAATCTCTGCCTTGCAAGTTCAAGGGATTCCCCTGCCTCAGCCTCCTGAGTAGCTGGGATTACAGGCACTGCCCCCATCATGCCAACTAAGATTTGTAGAAATGGGGTTTCACCATGTTGACCAGGCTGGTCTTGAATTCCTGACCTCAGGTGATCTGCCTGCCTCAGCCTCCCAAAGTGCTGGGATTACAGGCTTGAGCCACTGCGCCTGGCCAACTTTTCAAGTCTTTCAACAGGGCACAGTGCCACCCTGTTGCCCTGGGCCTGGCAGCTTTCCAGGCTTCCTCCAGGCTTCTTGTAGGTCTGGTCCCATCTCCTAGTTTTCAGTTGCAGGAGAGCTCCTGGCCAAAGCCATTGATGTTAAGCCTTGGTCTCATCTCTTCTCTCTCTGTCTCTCTCTCATTATTGTTTTAGAGACAGGGTGTTGTTCTGTAACCCCGGCGGGAGTGCAGTAGTTCGATCACAGCTCACTGCAGCCCTGAACTCCTGGGCCTATGGGATCCTCCTGCAACTGAAAGGCCTCTGAGGCCCAGAGGGGTTCAGAGGCTTTCCTAAGGTCACATAGCAAGTTCATGTCAGTCTTTTTTTAAATATAGATTTAAATAAAATAGAGAAAAGGTCTCCCAGGCTGGTCTCCAACTCCTGACCTCAAGTTATCCTCCCACCTTGGCCTTCCAAAGCACTAGAAATACAGGTGTGAGTCACCACAACCAGCCAAGTTAATGCCAGCCTCATTCATCTCGGCCCAGACGGGATCCACCAGCTGCTTAGAACAGATTCCTGCCCTGTTTCCCTCACACTTCAAAGGCATATTTGTACTTATGTGCAGTGTTGTCTAGGCTGGTCTTGATATCCTGGCTTCAAGATATCCTCCCACCTCGGCCTCCCAAAGTGCAGGAATTACAGATGTGAGCCACTGTGCCCAGCCCCTTTTTTCTGAAGAAGTTGCTGAATGCAGTTGCTAGAATATGATTTTCACATGCATTAGCTCATTAGCTCTAAAAACAGAACTGTGAGATGAACTGGGCAGGCTTTTTAAAAATTTTTATTTTTATTTCTTTTTTTGATGTCAGGTCTCAGTGTGTCACCCAGGCTGGAGGGCAGTGGTGTGATCATAACCCACTGTGTCCTCTAACTCCTGGGCTCTAGGGATCCTCCCTAATCAGTCTCCCCAGTAGCTAGGACTACAGGTGCACACAACCATGCCCAGCTTGGGCAGATTGCTTTTTATCATTCACAAGTAGAAACAGATTCAGAAGGGCTAACTGGCTTGGAGTGACATGCTGGCACCCTTGAGCCACAAGTGGAAATAAGTGGCTTTAGCACAAGGGAGAGAGGATTTCAGCATGGTGAGGAAGGGCTTCTCATGAGACCTTCTCCACTCTGTGGCTGCTCAGCCTAAAATAATACATAAACAAAGCTGGGCCATCTCCCACTGAAAATGAGGGCAGGAGGCACCTATCTCTGGTAAAATACAGAGAAGACCCACAGGCTGAATGCCCAGCCCCAGTCTTTCTTGCCTTTGCATTTCTCCTTGTTAAACATTAACCTTTAAAGTGAGAAACACCTAAATGCTGATATAATTATCCAAATAAGCATTTTCTGTCATGCCAGGGTTTATTTGATGAACAGCAAAGCTTCTGAGCTTTGTCCTTCGGTCTTGTTATTTGGCAAGGTGTTTGAACTTTAGTAATGTAAACACTGCAAGTCATTACCGGATGTCTGTGTCTTGGCCTCCAAAGTGAGCAGTGGAAAGAACAACAATGAATTTAATAGAAACAAGAAATTTTTTCCCTATGTTTTTCCTCAAAGCTATATGTGTTTTCTGTCCTCATGTCCATTGGTAGGACCTTAAATGATCTATGGTGCATCTATATAATGGAATATCCAGTAGCCACGAAAAGAAGGAGAATTATTTTTAATTTGGTGATGTGAAATGATCTCCAGGATGTACTGTTACATGTAAGAAGCAAGAGTGACTAGCATATTCCTTTTTGCATTTCACAAAGAAGACAGGGAATATATGTAACGTGTTTGTGTAGGCATCAAATATCTCTAGATGGGCTGGGCACAGTGGCTCACACCTGTAATCCCAGTGCTTTGGGAGGCCGAGGTGGGTGGATCACCTGAGGTCAGGAGTTTGAGACCAGCCTTGCCAACATGGTGAAACTCCATCTCTACTAAAAATACAAAAACTAGCCAGGTATGGTGGTATATGCCTGTAGTCCCAGCTACTGAGGAAGCTGAGGCATGAGACTTGCTTGAACCAGGGAGGTGGAGGTTGCAGTGAGCTGAGATCGCACCCTGCACTCCAGCCTGGGCAACAGAGAGACTGAGTGAGACTCTGTCTCAAAAACAGAAAACGAAGCAAAACAAAAAAACAAAAAGCAACAAGAAAAACTGTAGATGGATAAACAAGAAACTGATGCATTTATTACATTAAGAAAGGAACTGAATGGCTAGTGAATAGAATCATCATATACTCCTTTGTGTCTTTTGATTTTTAAAATATGTGAACATATATGTAGGATTTAAAAATTTTTTAAATATTTTTAATTTTTATGAATACATAGTAATTGTACACATTTATGGAGCACATGTGATATTTTGATGCCAGCACATAAAGTGCAATGATCAAATCGAGATAATTGGGGGTATTCATCAGCTCAGACAATTATCACTTCTTCATATCGGGAACATTCCAGTTTTTCTCATCCAGCTATTTTGAAGTATACAACATGCTTGTTTGAACTTGGCTTTTATATTTATTGGGTTCTCGGCGAGGCCTCAATAATAGAGACGAATTCACTAACTGAGTGGATAACGTAGGCTTCACCACAGCAGCTTTTAAAAAGTAGCGACTTTGTGGGGGAGTAAGTTCTCTTTTCAAAATATTTTTTCTTTGTGTGTTATCTTATTTTGAACATTCTTTTTTGAAAAAAAATTATTTCAGTAGCATTTTAGGTGTAAATTGTTTTTGGTTATATGGATGAACTGTTTAGTGGTAAATTCTGAGATTTTAGTGTACCCATCACCCAAGTAGTGTACACTGTACCTAATATGTAGTTAGTTAGTTAGTTAGTTAGTTAGTTAGTTAGTTAGTTAGTTACTTAGTTAGTTAGTTACTTAGTTTGTTTGAGACAGAGTCTCACTCTGTCACCCAGGCTGGATGGAGTGCAGTGGTATGATCTCGGCTCACTTCAACCTCTGCCTCCCAGGTTCCAGTGATTCTCCTGCCTCAGCCTCCTGAGTAGCTGGGATTACAGGGATCCACCACCATGCCCAGCTAACATTTTTTGTATGTTTAGTAGAGACGGGGTTTCACTGTGTTAGCCAGGATGGTCTTGATCTCCTGACCTCCTCATGATCCACCTGCCTCGGCCTCCCAAAGTGCTGGGATTACAGGTGTGAGCCACCATGTCCAGCCAATATGTAGTTTTTTTTATCCTTAGTGAGATCACACACACACACACACACACACACACACACACACACAGTATGCCTTTATGCAGGACATTTTTTAAAACTTAATGAACTTATATACTTTTAAGAAAAATTTTGGCATTTACAATCTTTTTATATAAGCCCTGGAGGAGCCCTCCAGAGACCTGGATCTTAGCTTGTGCCAGTTTATAATGACAGCAAGGGCTCCATTGTGGGTGGGACCAACATGGGCTGACAGGGGCAGCCAAGTACCCTTGGTGACTCCCTTCCACAATAATTTTAAAAGGATGGCATTGGATGAAATGCTATTTCCTGTATGAAGTCAATATTGAACAATGTTTAGAGAGATTCAACAATGTAAAACACATTTAAAATCTCAAAATACTCTGGAAGACCACCACATTTTCTACATTGTCTGAAATTTCGCAACCTACAGGTGACTACTAACGTTTTGGTCTATTTTCTTCCATTTTTAGTTCTATTTCTTACCGTTTTCACTGGACAGCATCTCATAATTTCTCCATCGCTTTACTGGCAGGCTTTAATGCTCCATGATTGTTCATCACATGGCTTTACTGTTGGGCAATTTCCTGTTCACTGAGCACCACGCACTCCATCTGGGAACTCACAGTTCAATTCGTGCTTTCTGCATCTCTTCGACTGCCTTTGTATTCTATTTGTGGTCTGACTTTATTCTCTGCTTGGTAGGCCATTATTTTGATTCCCTTCAAATTTTTCTACCTCTTATCAGTAACACTTTTCACTCATATCAGGGGTTCTGAATACATTAGGGTGGTGCCGTAGCATTATTTATCTTGTTCCCTTAAAATCCTGTCTAGAACAAAAACTCTCATCTGCTGGATTAATCTGTGCTTGAAGAAACATATGCCAGAGCACACCTGGTTCAAGCACAGAAGTTCCCAGTATGACTCAAGAAACCTTAGGTTTTTGGGAAAGCTTCCTAAAAACTCAAGCGTACAGTTTTTCTGCTTATGCTTTCCAAGTAATAGGCAGCTACATGGCCCTAGCTGTGCCTCTGCTTCTGCATATGTAAAAGGAAATTATCCTAATATTACCTCATTGGGTTATTGTGAGGATTAAGTGAATTAACAGATATAAAGCACATCAACAGTGCCAGGCACATAGTAGTAATTGCTCAGTAAGTTTTTTAGTACTAGGTGCTCGGTACATGATGAGAATGGATGTACGTGTGTCGTCGTGAACCTGCTTAATCACTCAGGAGTCGTTCTTGGTGTTGGCCACCCCATCCCACCTCCTGTATTCATAGTGGACAGTAGCCACAACTCTATCAACAAATACTGAGTCTAATTCACTGTCCACACTGGAAGATGCAGTACACCTCTATTTAGCTATTCTCACAACTTTTGGAGCAGTCAGGATTAGGTCTAGTTACAGCTTTTTGCTAATGCTCCTGGCTTTAAAGTGGGAACTGGAAAAGTAGTTCATTGGCCAGGCATGGTGGGTCATGCCTGTAATCCCATCACTTTGGGAGGCTGAAGTAGGAGGATCACTTGAGCCCAGCAGTCTGAGACAAGACTGGGCAATGTAGTGAGACCCCATCTCTACAAAAATTTAAAAAGTTATCATAGCTGTGGTCCCAGCTACTCAGGAGGCTAAAGTGGGAGGATGGCTTGAGCCCAGGAGGTTAAGGCTACAGTGAGCCATGAATGCACCACTGCACTCCAGCATGGGTGACAAAGCAAGACACTGTCTCTAAAAAACATGAAGGAAAGAAAAAAGTAGTTTGCTTACACAGTATAGTCCTCTAAGAGAATCATTTGTGTAGAGGCAGAGCAAGGTGCTCAGGGTGGTGGGGTGGGGAGAGGTGTTCCGCAGGCCAACTCTTCTCATCTCTCCTCTGCAGTGTCTTTCTCCAAGTCACCAGTTTGACTGACTCCAAGGCTCTGAGTGCAGGAGTCCAGGAGGAGCTGGCTTTCCCACTCTAACTCCCTCATTGTCCCCAGCCCTGCAGAGAAGCCAAGGGTGTTTATTTCACTTCTTATCTGAAGGATGAGCCTGGCTTGTTATAGGACACAGTTGCTTCACAATCTGCTCATTCGTCTGTAATCAGTGAACCATATTGATAGCCATTTCTCTCCTCATAACAAGGGGACTCTTTCCATTACTGGGATTGAGTTTCCTGGTGGGACCTATCACTGGACCTCTCATTCCCATGGGCCTCTGATTTTTCTGGATCCATATTTCTTTAATGAAATCTTCACAACTTTATTAAAATTTTTTAATTTTGTGACATTATTTAGAGGATAATCTTTTAAAAACAATGACAATGAAGTATGGGTGACTGCTGGGACATCTAGATGAGCACCTTACACTTGGTCCTACCATGGGACATGGACCTAAATCTGGACTTCCATTCATGTTTAATTAAGGGGTGCAACTTTAAATACTGCAGGCTAAAGAAAACACACAGAGATTGTGCTTGTGCCTAGAAAAGATGCAATAGACACACAGCAAGCAAGACAGATAAAGCCATCATAGTGGTTTAATTAAACTGGGGTAGAACTATCCCATGGCACACAGTGGACTGAAGAGAGGAACTGATGCCCTGTCAGCTTTGTAGGTGGCATATGTCACTATGACAGAGTCATATTATCTATCATATTAAATGCAGGTTAATTTGAATTTTACTGATTTAGATAACTCTTTCATTTTAAATTTTGTTTGGCTTTGTAGTTATCCAAGAGCAGCACATAGAAAGAGTCTATTCTAATATTCTAAGTGTTTGTAAATACTTAAGTAATTTCATATTAATAACAATTGAATGTGCCATTGAGAGCCCATTAGTGTTTTTATTGGTTCCTGTTTTGTTTTCTATGAAAAAAGTAGAGATTTTATACACAAGTACATATATGTGTGTATGTGTACAAAAATATACACACATGAATGTATATGCAAATTAAAGTCATTTGGAAAATACTGTTTCAGATGATTACCAAATACCGATGTTTGGCTTCAGGAGGTAGAGAGCAGAGAGGAAAGAGGACAGGGAAGGAAAGTAAAAAGGAAGTGAAGTAAAATAAGAGGGAGAAGATGAAGAGGAAGAGCTGGAAAAGTAAGAAACACATATGAAAGGGCAGAGAACGGAAACCATGGACACTTGACTCGCCGAATCTGTGGTCGTTTGTTCTTGGATCGGCTACTTAATCTTGCATAGATTTGTTTCACTGGCTAGAGAAAGGGAAAGAAACAACAATGTCTGCCTTAAGGACTGTTGTGGAAAGTAAAGTAAACTATTTATGTTAATTATCTGATACATAGCAGGCATTCAATGAATGTCAGTTCCCATATTGCTTCCCCTACACTCAGTGGCTAATCAGTAAGTTTTAAGTCAAATTACTATAAAGTACAGAATAAAAAAAGAAAAGAAAAAAGCATGCATGAGAAGCGATATTACAGGAATTCAAAGAAGAACTGGAGGGATCTCCTACGCTGGTATCTTTCACTTGAGCCTTGATTATCTGTATCAACTTAAAAGTTCTTTTTTTGACTATACACCTTGCATTGTTTCGGATAAGAGTTCTGCCTTCTGTAACAGGTATCTAAAGATAAGAGTGATTAAAAATAACATTTATGTCTCTCTCATGTAATAGGCTGCACAAAGGCAATCCAAAGTTTATATAATGACTACATGGGTTGGAAGTCCAGCTTCCTGGCAGCTTGTTGCTCTGAAACATGCTCCTGAAACATGGCTTCCATCCCTGAGTTTAAGATGGCTGCTCCTGCTTCTACCATTGTGTCTGCATCCCAGCCAGCCAGATAAAGGAAAGGACACTCTTTCCTTCATTTTAAGAACATGATCTACAAGCGGTCGAGACCATCCTGGCCAACATAGTGAAACCCTGTCTCTACTAAATACAAAAAAAAATTAGCTGGACATGGTGGCATATGCCTGTAATCCCAGCCATTTGGAAGGCTGAGACAGGAGAATCATTTGAACCCAGGAGGCAGAGGTTGCAGTGAGCCAAGAATGCGCCATTGCACTCCAGCCTGGGTAACAAGAGCAAAACTCCGTCTCAAAAAAAAAGAACATGACCTGAAGGTTGCTTACATCAAGGCTGGTCACAGTCAATTAGCCTGAGCCATCACATGGCCACAGCTACTGCAAGGGATGCATACAGACAGTCTTGAGGTTGGTAGGCATGTTTCTAGTTAAAACTTGGAATATTATCAAAGAAAGAGAGAAAAGTACTGTGTGTTGTGGAGATGGAGATTAGCTGTGCCCAACACCCCTTATCATTATCCATTTTTGAGTATGACCTCTTGAGAATATTTGTATATTTATATATTTTAAATTGCACATAAACAAGACTAGTAATACATTTGGTACTTTTTTCAACATGCAGAAAAGGAAATTTTAAGAAGGTGAATAAAGATATAAGTTCTAAAATTCTTCCTGCACCTCAGTAGATGATCTTATTTGCTTTGGAAAGTGCTATCCTAGATAATGCTGAAGAATCACTTCAGTTTGTTTTCTTTTTGTTTTGTTTGGAGACAGGATCTCACTCTGTCGCCCAAGCTGGAGTTGCAGTGGCATGATTATGACTCACTGCATCCTCCGCCTCCTGGGCCCAAGCCATCCTCCCAACTCAGCCTCCCAAGTAGCTGAGACTACAGGCACATGTCACCACATAGAGCTACTTTTTGTAGAGATGGGGTTTTACCATGTTGTCCAGGCTGGTCTCGAACTCCTGGGCTCAAGTGATTCACCCACCTTGACCTCCCAAATTGCTAGGATTATAGGCATGAACCACCACACCTGGACACTTAAGTATTTTTTTTAGCAGAATAATCTTGTTGCTTTTCATCATTATATATGAAGCTATAAACACAGACATACTGAGAAAATGTCAAATCACCCTGTTTTGATTTATTTATTGCTTTAAGGAACGTGTTGTGAGCATCAGCTATGTTCGGGTCACTGTGTTACATATGTGGAAATATGGAGATGAGTATGTGCAATGAGTATGAGCCCATACCAGTTGTGGAATACCTATCCAGCTTTGCTTGCGTAAAGAGAGGATTAATTAGATCCAGTTCAGTGAGGGCCATATTGAGGTATAAGTTTGTATAAGAATGAGGGGACAGGAAGAGCTTCATAAAAGGAGCAATGTTGGCCGGGCACAGTGGCTTACGCCTGTAATCCCAACACTTTGGGAGGCTGAGGCAGGTAGATCACGAGGTCAGGAGTTCGAGATCAGCCTGGCCAACATGGTGAAACGTCATCTCTACTAAAAATACAAAAATTAGCCAGGCATGGTGGTACACATCTGTAATTCCAGCTACTCAGGAGGCTGAGGTAGGAGAATTGCTTAAACCCAGGAGGCAGAGGTTGTAGTGAGCTGAGATTGTGCTACTGCACTTGAGCCTGGGCAACAGAGCAAGACTCCATCTTGGGGGAAAAGAAAAAGGAACAGTGTTGAGCTGAGTCCTGAAGGAGCATGACCACAAGAGAAGGGGCAGAAATGTGCTTCTGGGGGGCTGAAGGTATTTACAAAAGCCCAGGGCTGTGAATAGCCCATGGATTTCCCCAGCAAACCCATGGGCTCTTAGGGACTCAACAGCAAGCACAGCCCAGGTTCTGCACCTTCCAGTGGGCCTTTTTGCATCTCCTTTCTTAGCCCTGCCTCCACACCCCAGCCCCATCCCAGACATGGAGTGGCCTCATGGTGAACACATGGATGCCCCACCAAGACCTGTGTCTTCAAAGAATGCCCAGTGCTCCAAATTATCCTTTTGCCCTCTTTAGAAGCCAATTACTTCAGGGCCATTGGTCTCAGCTAGAGGCCATAAAGGAAAACATCTGCTCCCCTAAGGTATGAGCAGCACAGAGCAACCACGTCATTCCCTCCCCAGCATTTGATTAATATTCTTGAAAGGTAATGGTGTAAATCATGGGAAGGAATTTTTTTAATCTGGCATTTGGGCCTTAGTGCAGTCATTTGAAGAAATTTTGGGGGTAGACGGAGATTTCCTCGTGTCTATTGAATCTCACTTTTATTTAGCCTTTGCCAGCCCTAGAAACGGATTTCCCTGGCTGCGCCTCATGGTAGAATGTCTTTCTGTATCCTTACACACTCCTGACCCTGGCCTTTTTTTTTCCATTTCAGAAGCTTGTTATCTACTACACCTGAGTAAAAAACCCATTGTAACAATCCAAGATGGTGCTAGAAATATATGCAGAGACTCCTAAAAGTGTTAAGGGATGTCCCAGATGGAAGCAAAACTGACAATCTGTTATATAATATTTCCATGCCCAGATTTAAAAAGATGTGAGGGATCTATGTTGTCATTGGCCTTAGAGGTCCCCAGGACTCAGAGAGTACATGTCTTCTTCAGCTGAATACGTTTGAACAGAGAAGAAAGAAAGGTACAGATAGATCATTTTATACTTTCCAGATGCTTTACACACACACACACACAAAATTAACTGGAAAAGCTTCCACCATACCTCGGTTGTGGGAGCCAGTAGAGCAAGCCATAGATACTCTAGTTCTTCCAGGCAGATGATGGCTTACGCTTCTCTACCCTCTACAAGGTGAAATGTGGCTCTATGACATGCTTAGCGAATGAAAGATGTATGAAAATTACATGGTACCTCTGGGAGGAAGCTTTAAGAGCCAGTACACAGTTATCTCTTTTGCCACCATATTCTGTAATGATTGCGGACATAAGTCTTGGGTCAGAACATCTGTCAGCTGGGGACCTGGAGTGACTCTGACAAACAAGGTTCCCCTGCAAACCTCCATAGAATGGGTAACCTGGACCAGAAATAAACTTGTGTTGTGTGAAGCTGCTGACATTTGGGGGTTGCTACTGCAGCAAAACCTAGCCCATCTGACATGCACAGGTTGGTACATGTAGTATTCTGCACCTAGTGTCATTGCACAGAGACTCAGTACCTTTGTGTATTAGTTTACAATCTCTTGGTTTTAAGTAGTGGAAGCCAATTTGAACTAGTAAGGAAAGAGGCTTTGTCATGGGATACAGAGCATCTCCTAGAATCTGACAGCAGGAATGTCGTGAGGCCTTAGGAGGCAGCAGTGCCAAATGTTGTAGAAATGGAAGATTCTCCTCTGATACCTATTTTCTCCTTCCTTTAGTAATGGATCCCAGATTTTTAGCTGGGCACAAAACTACCCAGAATAAAAACCACATTTCCTGCTCACCATGTCAACTCTGTGTGGCTATAAAACTAATTTCTAATTAATGGATTGTGACCAGAAATGAGGTCAAACTTTGGGACTCAATCTTTGAAGGGGAAATACATGTCCTCTGTTGCCACCCTCTTCCCACTGGTTAGAATGCTGAGGCAATAGGAGGAGTTGGAGCAGCCACTTTGAGCCATGAGTTGAAAGCTACATGTTGAGGATAGATGAGCAAATATATAAAAGAAACTGAAATCCCCCACATCATTTAGAGCCCATACCAGTTGTGGAATACCTATCCAGCTTTGTTTTGTCTTTGTGAGAGGTAATAAACTTGCTCCTCATATTTTTAACCTTTTTAAAATAGAGCAGCTAAACTTGTATTCTAGTCAACACACCTTGATCTAGAAAGATGGCTGGACATTGTCTCCATCTTTCTGTGCTTTCTCTTTCCTTCTGCACACCTTCATCCTTTTTTTCTGTGGTCCGCTTTCTCTGATTTCCAGTTACTCCATAGAAAACATGGCTGCCTCAAAGAAGCACTATGTTCATGTATGTAACAGATTTATTAAGCACCCATTCTGTGCTGGGAAGTGTGCTTGGAACATCTCTTCTGTGTTCTGTTCTGTCTGTTGCTAGCATTAAGCACTAGCAACAGAACAGCACATAGAACAGATTCTTTTTTCCATGGAGCATACAGAGAAGTGATGAGGAGGAGAGGTAGGCAGTAACATGAAACAGAAAGATCATCATGAAATTTGAATAAATAAAAAACATTATTTAAAAAAGGATTTTTATTAAGGATGAAGTAAAGAGGGCTGTTGAGGATGGAAATGTAGATGTGATCTACAGAAAGAACACCTTGTAAACTATGTTATGGAGATTGGCGTCATATAGATAGTCATGTCCAGACTGGATAAAGCTTATAGGGGTACAGGAAGAAACGGTCAGAACTATCATCTATATTTCTGTCTTTTTTAAGAAAAATTGTGTCTTTTGCATTCTTTATAGTACATATAACTGACTTGTACAGTAGCACATGTTAATAACTTACGTGTAATTAATATGGGAATAGAGAGCTGGCAAATGGTTTTACCCAGGGGGATAGAATGGTGCAGTTTACCAATTAGAAAGGGCACTTGGAGCTACGGTGTGGAGAATAGGTGGAAGCAAGTCAAGATTACAGGCAGGGAGACCAAGAAGAAGGCCATGGCGGCAGAACAGCTGGGAGGTTATGAAGGCCTGAACTTGGTGGGGACTGGACAGACTGGAGAGATACAAGACTCACTAGGACTTCTGAACTGAGGGAATGTGGGACTTGGAAAAAGAGAGAAGAAAATATGATACTAAGGATTCCACTTTTGCCATCAGGATGAGTGGGGTGGGCCTGTTACTGCAATTTTAGGTAAGCCAAGGTTTGTAAATTGGCCCTAAATTGGGGGACATGGAAATTGCTGGTGAAAATGATTAAAAACAGTTTCAGCATGAGAGTGGGGTGCAGAGTGATGAAGTCTGAATAAAGGCCGTGAACTTAACTGAGACACCTATCTGGGGGAACTGATGTAAGAAGCAGGGTTGTGAATATGGTAAAAGAAAGAGTAGGGGTGATTTTTCATTATTTTTGAAGATGGGAAAGACTTTCACCCTGTGAGGCATCTATTCTCTCCTCTTTATTCTCCTCCCAAACAATGCTTTTCAGACACACACCCATCTTCCTCATCCTTGTCCAACTTCCTTATTCCTGGACCAACTTCTCTGTTACTGTAAGAAAATCGTTTTCTTTTATTTAGTCAAAAACAAATTCTGATAATTGAAGACACATATAAAAGTAATGACGGTGGTTGACTTGCATTAAGGAAAGGAAGTTTTCAGCTAATATTAGACAAGACAGACAAGCCCTAAAATCTTTTGAAGTTCCCTTTAGACACACCCAATATTTCTGTCTCCTTCATCTTTTCTTCAAGTTGGCGCTACTATTAAACAGTATTTTTTGTGCTTTTTCTTTTTTTGTATTTGGGCCATGTGAAGACTTTTCCGGGCTTACCTACGGAGTAAACTCCATTCACAATTTCCTCCCTAAGGAAAAAACGCATTTCAAGGTTTTACTTTAGAAGCTAGCTTGAGGGGGAGGGGGTGGGAGTGGGTTGGGGGCTTAAGTTCTTGGTTTGCCAGGCCTTTGTGGGTACAGGATGGTACAGGAGTGACCCACTAAAGGCATAGCTGTTGGTGCAGCCCAAAGAAGCTAAATGTACCTTTCAAGGTTTCTTCGGCGCCGGGAGTGACTGTGCCATTGGAGAGGTCAGTGAGGAGAAGGCCACACTGCTGTTTAACCAGGAACAGCCTGGGCTCAGGCCCTTCTTTGCACAGGAAGATAAACAAGGAGAGGGCAGGCCTACTTGGGAAGTTCAAGTTAAATCCTGGCAGGCCTCTGGTTGCCCAAGCAGCCCAACATATGGGCAAAATGCTTCTTTCCCCGGCACAGCGCTCGCCTCCCCGGAGAGGTTCGAGCATCCTGTGACCTCCTTCTGCCCTTAGTCTTGAAACTGAACGGGTTTGGGCAGCCAGGCAGGCCTCTGCAGCTTTCTCTGCCCCAGCCCCTAGGACCTCTGTCTGCATCCCTGGCTTGCTGCTATGGCTGCAGAGGAGGAAGAGTGAAACCGCGCCAGTGGCTGGCGCAGGCCAGGCCGAGGCCCCTCCTCGGCCCCCTCTCGGGCGGCCCTCCCTCCCCCTCCCGGGGCGTTTGTATTGCAGACACCTGCAGCACGGGCGGCCGCCGCGATTCCTGACACAAGGCGCTGGTACCTGAGCCCTTGACTGGTAATGCACCATAAACGGCTCCTTTCAGGCCCTTTCAGAGCGGGAGCGCGGAGGTCACCGTGTCTACAAACCCCTCTGTGTCTGCCACGTCTCCTGGGCCCTGGGCGCCCGGGCCTCCAGCCGCAGAGCACGCCTGCCCGTGGGAATCCCAACACTTGTGCTCCGCGAGGCCGGCTGGGCGGGGGCGGGGGAATGGGACCACCCGGCCCTCCCCCAGCCTGGCCTCCCCCGCCCTCCCCGCCGCTGGTTCACAGAGCTCAGCGAGTGGAACGAATTTGGTGCGCAGTCCTCAGACGCTCGCGGAAATCAAATGATAAGGCGAGGTGAGACACCCGCTCTCTACCCCGCGGCCGACGCCCACCCCGCGACAAAGGTATCAAGCGGTGTCCTGCCCCGCGGCGCCACAAGGGGCGGGTTGACTCTGCCTGAGCACCCTTGGGCAGCCAAACGCTCGGCTTGCTGGGCGGCGATCCCCGCTTGGCGCGCACAGCCCTCCAAGGCCGGGTGGGGTTGGGTGCAGTTGTGCCTGTGGCGCAGGTGCCTCAGTGGCTCAGACCCCGGCCAGTGCTGTCGGTAGTTGTGCACGTCTTGGGCAGGCGCTGGCGCCTGGCTGGCTAGTCGGTTCTTCCCAAGCTTGGCGGTAGACGTAGGGTTTGGAACACCCGGTGCTGAGACGCGAATGCGCATAAAGAGAAAAGTGTTTCCAGTGTTTCCCCAAAATGGGGAAGAGGGGAGGACAGGTATGCAAGACCGCCAGGGCCACTAGTCTTTGTGCCAGCCTCACTGCCTTCTTTCCCTCTGGCCTGGCTCTGGACACCGAAAGGCGGAAAGAGGGGCCGCGCCGTAGAGCCAGCCGCACTTGGGGACAGCAGGCGGCGCTGGCCCAGGCCACCCAAGTCCAGCAGATGAGCCCTCGGCCTGCGGGGGACCCGGCCGGAGGCCAGGGAGGCGGCGGTATCGCCGGAGGGAGCGCGCGCCCCCTCCTGGGTCCGCAGGGAACCCAGGTTACCTGGGGAGCCGGGCTTTGTCGGCCATGCTGGCTCTCCTGGGGCCCAGAACTAATTAAACGCCTCTTTTGGCCAAGGGAAGCCTCACGCCGAACGGGGGTGGGGGCTTGTGGGGGCGGCATGTGGGCACGGGAATAATCAACTCCATTCTTGCGCTTCTACAAAACCCGCGGCGCAGCTAGAAGTGAACAGCGGCCGCCTGAATGGCGGTTTCAAAAGGCGACACCTGCAAGCGCTGCCGGTTGTGAATTGAATGGAGTCAAATGCGGCGCCCGCTCCTACCTGAGCCGCGAGCTATTAGTGTCAGGCGCGCCCGGTTGTCCGGGCAGGGAAGCGCGCTGCCGGGCGGCCAGCGCTGAATGCAGCAAGCTGCGGCGGGGCCGCTCCATGGGAATGTCGCCACTTGTGCTGCTCGCGGTCGGGAGGGGGTGCGCTGCCCTTTCACAGACAAACACAATTAGGCAAAATGCTCAATGAACATTATAAATGACGTGCGATCGCTCTGCAGATTGCCTGGCAAATCAAATTATATGGTCGCTCGCGGGCGATTTCCATGTGCTTTTAAAACTTAAACAGGTATTCGCACATTTAAAAAAAAAAAAATAGGGGGGTGGTGACTCAGGGATTCCGGGGGAAAAAAGTGAAAGAGTCGGTGTTGAATATTCACACATCCTCTTTGTTGGCAACTGACTTCACAATGGGCTTGGAGAGGGGGTGCGTTTGGACGAGACACATTTTTTACTGCCTTCCAGGCTGCAGAGGAAGGCACCAGAAGTTTGCATTTGTTACAACTCACAATTACAGTGGAACTCTTTTTTTTTAAGACTAAAATTCTTATCATAATAAATGACTTGAAAGCTACTGTCATTGTAATAAGATTGAAGAAACATTCTAATCAGATGAAGTGCGCCCGGGTGCACTTGGAGGGGAGGCAGAAAGAGCCCTGCGCTTCTCGCTAGCACAGAGCATTAATCCAAGAGGGAGCTGGGGAAGAGAGGGCTCCGCGCTCTGCACAGCCCAGACTCTGGGCCTCAAACACAGCCCCAGGGCTCCCTGGTTATCTTTTGGCCTCCCAGTGGTCCCCCAAGCTCCGGGAGGAGGAGGGGCACGGAACCAGAGAGAGAAGATTGAGATGGGTGCCGTGCGCCCAGGGCAACTCTGGTAGAAACGCTGGGAAGGGCACAAGCACCCCTGCCACCCTTGGTCCTCCCCAGCTTGGCCCTGCGCTCTGCGACTGGCGAGCCTCGGAGGAGGAGGGCAGCTGGAGGCGCCGGGATTGCTCGGACCCCCGCAGAGGCTAGGGGCCGTGCCTCAGGCGAGGGGCTGTCATCCAGCAAGAGCAGAGCTGATTCTGGCTTCAAAAAAAAGGAAGCAAGGAAGCAACAGCCATCCGTGGCCTCACACCCCTGCAGACCTCCATCTCATTTTTGATTTTCTACTATTTTTGTTTTCAGATAATTGGGACGGAGGGAGGGGCGAATAATTGCGGATCATGGTGACAGTTGGTAAATATATGCATCTTGGTGAGGAAAGACAAGCAGAAAAAAAGACTGGAAATCCAGCTTTGGGGTTTGTCTTTGTCGGTGACTCACTGTTATCTTGGGCAAGTAGCTTAACCTCTCGGGCTCAGTTTTCTCATCCATGAAATAGGAACCAATGTCTGATGTGTCTTCCTTGAGGGATTTTCATTAGGACTTTCATTGGGAATGGCAATCTTTTGGGTAGATTGTTTTTGTTTACCTTAAGGTCAAAAACTATACATAAACCTCAAGGATAAAAAGCTCCTTGGGAGGATAAACCTCAGAAACTCAGAGACCTGAGCCCTGGCATTCCTCCACTCCCAAACCTTGCAAAGGAATCGCTCCTTGTTGGACTGGAGGAAAGGAATGCTCTTCCTAAATGCCTCCTTGTGCAAAGAGGGACTGGGTCCCTGAGGAGGGTGGAGAGCAGAACTCAGCCAACATGTGGACTATCTGGTAGTGTGTGTGCACGCTTGTGGGTGCAGATGTGTAAGGGGGCAGGTCTCCAATATGTTGGACATTTTCGTTTCTCCTTGTCTCACACTTGTCCTGCTGGTACCAATGACCACTTCGTGCAAAGCAATGAATGAAGTTCAATTCATGAGTTAGGAAGGTGCATTTCATTGAGAAATAACATTTTTTATTGCAGTTCTGGGCATGAGAGTCCCGGAATGGCGAAGGTTCTGGGAGTACCGTGGAGCCAGGTGCGCTGGCCTTGGTGCTGAAGGTAAAGGCCGAGCCTACGGAGGCAACCGCCTCAACCCATGAGCCATCTCAAAGATAAAAGCAAGGGGATCACACCTTTTTAACACGTCCCGTCCAGAGTGTGTGTTTGTTTCCGTGTTGTGTGTGTGTGTGTGTGCACCCGCGTGTGTATGTACACACCCGTGTGTGTGTAATGAAAATAACATGTGAAAGCACCGTTTCTAATAAATTTTAGTTAATTGAATGGACATTTAGATACCTTTCTCTCAATACGCTCCATGGCTTACTTATTCAATTCCATGTGGGAAAATTTTTACTAAACGATAGTCATACAATGTCTTAAGGATACCTGTTTCTCACTTTCTTTCACCACCTGATCGAAACATGGTGGAGAAGTTTCAGTCAAGAGAAAAATGTATCAAAGACAAGAGTGGTCCATTCAACACTTCTCTCTGATTATATTTAAGTTCTTCACTGCCTCTGCGCCCAAAATGGGGTGATTCCATCTCAGGAAAGAAGTGATTGGAACAGAACCATCTTGAAAAGGCACATGTGGTTTTAATTAATGAATCTATTCTGAGACCTCTAAGGAAGCTCACTTAGTACCGGGTTAAACCCAGTGATTAAGGCTTCATGTGTGCCATTTAGGGAAAAATTTTCCTTGGGCTAAAATATGGACAAAAGACGATGGACCTGTTCTGTTCATTTTTCTGTCACGATATATTTTTTGAGACAGGGTATCAATCACTCAGATTAGAGTGCAGTGGCATAATCACAGCTCACTACAGGCTGGAATTCCCAGGCTCCAGCAATCCTACCATCTCAGCCTCCTGTGTAGCTGGGACCACAGGCACTAGCCACCAAGCCCGACTAATTTTTGAGAGACAGAATTTCACCATGTTGCTCAGGCTGGTTTTGAATGTCTAAGCTCAGACAATCCACCTGCCACAGGCTCCCAAAGTGCTGGGATTACAGGCATGAGCCACCATTCCTGTAATATCATATTTAATAGTTAAATATATATTTCTACCCTACTCATTCAAAATAAATATTAAGTAGCATGTGCAAATATGTGTGCTTTGACAAGATAAGAAAATAAGTAAATGAGAATATTTGGGGTGAAAAAATAAGATGTAACTGGAATTAAATTCTGTACACTTGCTAGAGATGCTCTAAAGTTTTGGCTCCAAACCTCCTCATTGTTGCAAAAAAAATAACAAAACAAAACAAAACAATAAAACAATAAATGTCATGATTCATGTTATCTAAGATAAAAACAAACTGGTTTCTCACAGAAGAACAACTATTTGCAATACTGACATCAGAGAGAAACCTCTTCTATGTGTCCCCATAAAATGATGTACCCATAAAATGAAAAGTGACCTCAACCGTGTTCCTGAAGCAAATAGACATGAGTTGTGTGAGCTAGCTTCGATTTGTGTCATTCAGTGAAGCCCTACAATATCGCTTCTAGTTGAATAACAATAAAACTGGTGAGAAAAACACCTGGCAAGCACCATCTTCACTCATACCCTTACTGGGATGCTGGAATCTTAGTGTTGGGGGCAAACTATCCTGAGAGTCCTTATGCTACAGATGTTGCAACTTCTGAAATATTTGCAAAAAATACTCTGGGGACCTAGCCTGGTATTTTAGGTAAGACCAATGACAGTGACAGACTTTGGAAAAGAGGAGGTGTTACTGTTAGTGCTGGAACCATCAAAGCCATCTTTGGGCCAGTGCTCCAACTTCAGTACCTATAAAGCTTTAACTCCACATTTTTAGGCCTTAGAGATTATGATTTGGTGGGTCTAGTAGCATCAGGGAAAAAATGGTGTGTGTGTGTGTGTGTGTGTGTGTGTGTGCGCGTGTGCATGCACGCGCATGCATATGTATGTATATATGTGTGTGTGTATCATTTTGGAAAAAGCATAATTTTTATAAGCACCCTAGATATGCAGTGAGACCACTAAATTGTTTCCTTCTTCCCTGTATAGTGCTAAACTACAGTTTCTGGCCTCTCCCACAGCGGTGTTGGACTGTGTAATTGAGTCCTGGTTAGTGGAATATAGGTAAAAGTGATGTATATCA